ACCTCCCGCGTTCCTTAGCTAATAAAGGGAAGACTCACTCTCATTCCAGAGCGATTCCCATAATCACTTTTTTTTAAAGAAAAAAGCCTGGCCTGTAACTTTTGATACTTAAATTTATTTGGCCCCGGATCCAAGCGGAAAAACCGTGTAGGGGTTTGCTTTGCAGGCGGCCCGTCCAGGTTCGATCCTCAGCATCCCCAAGACCCCCCCAAGTACCGACAGGAGAAATTTCTGAGTTGCAGAGCCAGGAGTAACCCTAGAGTATCGCCGGGTGTGACCCCCCCCAAAAAAAAATACCCAAAAAATTCATTTGGCCCACGCGTTCACTTTTAATAAGGAAAAATGAGATACAAACCTTTATAAAAACAAAAAAACCTGAACATGTTTGAGGGCTGAGCAGTAGTACCGCGAATAGGGCATGTGTCTTGCACTTGTCCACCAGGATTCAATCCCCGGTGCATGATATGGTGCCCCGGGCACTGCCAGGAGTGATCCCTGAGTGCAGCTTGACTGCAACGGAGCAACACCAGGAGTGATTCCTGAGCACCGCCAGGCATGGTCCAAAAAGCAAACCAAAACTAAAAATGTCAGCATATTTCTTGTAAAATGTTCCTGCATATTTTATAAACAAAAGCAATCAGGCATATTTCTTTCCATTAAGGAATGCAGCCTTTATTTCATTTTATTAGCATTAGGGCCACATCCAGCAGTGCCAGGACTTACTCCTGGCTCTGCTCTCTGGAATCACTCCTGGCAGGCTGCCGGGTGGGGGTGGGGGAGAAATGAATGATACGAGGGTGCCATAGATTGAACCTGGGTCAGCCACATGCAAGGCAAATGCTCCAGCCCCACCTGGAAAGCACTTTTTAAAAAGCCTTGGGATTAATTGCCCAGTGAATGTTGCCTCCTCAATTCAATCAATACTGACAGTTTGCACACTGTGCTTCAGGGAAGACTTCAGTGGCCCCTTCTCCTATTTTTCATCTGGAAATCTGACAGGGAAAAGGTTAGGGCTGGGCCATCACATGCTCCAGAACCAGTCTCAAGGTAGAAATCAGAGATCAGTTATGTCCTATCAGAATTTGGCTAAACCCATTTCTTACTTTTCTCTAAATCATTGTTGTTCCACAAAGACAATGAACTCTGAGACGGGTCTCAGAGACTGAACATTTTCTGATAAATATTAACAAAATACAATATCCCAGGGCCCAGGTGGTAGTCAAAGGGCTGGAGCCCATGCTTTGCATGCCTGAAGTCTGGGTTTGATTCCCAATGCTCTAGTGTCTCCCAGCACCACTAGGAGTGACCCCTGAGCACTGAGAAGAAAGTAGTCCCTGAGCATGGCAGGGTGTGGTTCCAAACCAAAACCAAAAGGCTTTATTTTAGGGTATCGCTTGTGTACCTCTGAAGGAGAACTGTAGGCTCTTTAATAAAAAATTTTATAGGGGTCTCCCCCAGCAGTGCTGGGGAATCTGCAGTCATTCCCTGGGATACTTGGCATAGCTGTACGCTTTGGTGCTTGGACTGGCAGTGCTTGAGGAAGGGGGGGCACACTGGGTGGTTCTGGGGATCAAACTTAGGGCCTCACATATGCCCAACTTTTCAAGTAATATCCCTAGCCTCACAAGCTGATTTTTTTTTTTCAGGGGATGGGGGAAAGAGTTCCAATAGAGACGTTACTGGGCCCACTCGAGCAAATCGATGAACAACAGGAGGACCATGACCGTGACCGTGACTGGGGGAAGAGTTGGGGATGGGCTACACCTGTTGGTATTCAGGACTTACTCCTGGTTCTGTGTTCAGGGATTATACCTAGGCCCAGGAGACCATTTGCAGTATCCAGGATCAAATCTCTGCAAGGCCACATGCCAAGCCTTAATTCCCTATTAGCTTTCTAGCCACTAAATGCATTACTTTTAAGAACTGCAAGTGATATGTGCTGAAGGAAGGTATATTCCTTCCCCCCTCTCAAGTTTCGAAGCATTATTAGGCTTATTAGGACACAACAGAGACTGTGGAGATGACTGGTAGAGGCACAGGCCTTGGAAATTTGAGTCCCTGGGCCCAAAAGTAAATAAAAACAATAGCATACAGCAGTTACTTTGCATAAGCAGGATCTAATAGTTGTTAAGCTACACAGACACACAAGGGAATCTTTGCTCAAGAGGTCAGGCACCTCTGGTTCATCTTCTATATCAGGTGCTGAGATAGAACGCAGTCAGTGTCCCTCCCGTCCATCCCAACTCACAAGAGAACAGGGAGAATCCATGCACATCTAGGAATGTGCTCAAGTATGCTCTCTCTCTTCCTTTTTTTAACAGCCTCATTTATCCACAATATTTACCAATTTACTTCATAACTAGTAGCTTAAGAATTATTAATGGGGGGGGGCTGGAGCAATAGCACAGGGGGTAGGGCATTTGCCTGTCACACGGCCAACCCGGGTTCGATTCCCAGCATTCCATATGGCTCCTCAAGCACCGCCAGGAGAGATTCCTGAGTGCAGAGCCAGGAGTAACCCCTGAGCATCAGTTGGGTGTGACCCAAAAAGAAAAAAAAAATTATTAATCTGGGGCTGGAGCGATAGCACAACGGGTAGTGCCTTTGCCTTGCACACGGCCAACCCGAGTTCGATTCCCAGCATCCCATCTGGTCCCCTGAGCACCGCCAGGAGTAATTCCTAAGTGCAGAGCCAGGAAGAATCCCTGTGCATCGCTCGGTGTGACTCAAAAAGAAAAACAAAAGAATTATTAATCTACATCCTCATGAGAACTATGTCCATTTTTTTCTTTTTTTTTTTTCATGTAGGAGTATTGCTATTTATTCAGCCATTGATTAGCTGATTGAACTGGGCATGAACTCCACATCACTTTTTTTTTCCTTTTTAATAATTTTATTTATTGATTCACCATGAGAGCAGTTACAAAGCTTTCAGGTTTGTGGCTTGGTCATACAATGAAACACCCATCTCTTCACCAGTGCCCATTTTCCACCACCAGAAACCCCAGTATACACCATCCCACATCCTCCTCTTACCTGTGGGGCAGATGATTTCCACATTACTCTCTCTCTACTTTGATTACATTCAATATTTCAAAATCAGACCCATCGTTATTATTTGGGATTTTACCCCAACACTCAGATCTACCGAAAAGGCAACAGTAGGCAATTTGTTTTCTATTGCTGATTATGAATAACATGTGATGTCATGCGGCTGCAGCCGCCCGATTTTGGAATTCCGAAATTTTAACAATTAAATCTGGAGGGATTTCTGCCAAAACCTGCAGGGTTCCGAGATTTGTTCCTGAGTCTCTGGGATCATGGCTGTTAAGCAGCTTGATCAGGAGCCAGAGAGGCTGTTGGTGGGCGGCGACTTAGGATGTCTTGGGGAAGGGAGGAAAGGGCAGGCTAGACCCCCATCCCCTGAGGCCCCACGTGTCTTGTCACTGAGGGCCAAACCTGACTGTTCAATGACCTCTGGCAGATGGCTGCCACCAAGCCGCCACGGGGGAGCAGGCAGAGGAACAGCACCCTTTCCCCCCTGGAGTGGCCCGGCGAGTGTCCACTTATTTTAATATTTTAGTTTTTTATTCTTGAGCTTGGGCTGGAGGGATAGCACAGCAATAGGGTGTTTGCCTTGCATGTGGCCGGCCCACCGAGCCGGGTTTGATTCCTCTGCCCCTCTTGGAGAGCCTGGCAAGCTACCGAGAGTATCTCGCCTGCACGGCAAAGCCTGGCAAGCTCCCCGTGACATATTCAATATGCCAAACACAGTAACAACAAGTCTCAAAATGGAGATGTTACTGGGCCTGCTTGAGCAAATCAGTGAACAATGGGAAGACAGTGCAGTGCAGTGCTATTCTTGAGCTTAAATTCATTTAGTCAAAATATATGCTGTAGGAACAAGTCTCACAATGGAGATGTTACTGGTGCCCACTCGAGCCTTGTTCATCAAATCAATGACCAACGGGAAGACAGTGCTACAGTGCATATGCTGTAGTATTATAAGCATTCTTCTTCACCTTCAGCAGTGAAGAAGTAATAGTAGTTGAAGATGGAGTAGTTGCACTATTAGCGTGATAAATTTTCATTATTTTTCACTTTGTTTTCATTTTTGGGGCCACATCTGGCAGGGCTCAGGGCTTACTTCCACATCTGAGTTCAGGAATTACTCCAGGAGTCATGTGTGGTGCTAGGTACTGAACCCAGAACCCAGATCAGTGACAAGCAGGGGACTTCATCCTCTGTAATATCTCTCAAGCCCCTCTTTACTTATTTCGTATTTATCTTTAATTTTTGAGCCACACCCATTGGTGCTCATGGCTTACTCCTGGTACTGCTCAGAGAATCATCTGGTAGGGTCTAGGGACCATAAAGGGTGTCAAGGGTCAACCCATTGTACCATCTCTCCAGTCCCTGTATTTTACTTTCAGTACATGAAGCATAGTATGATTCTGAAAGTCAACATTACACAAAAACATGGACATAGAACTGTCATTCCTCACTCCTCTCGTTCATGTCCACACATTCATCTCTCCACATCATCATCATCATCAACCCTCCGTAATAAACAGTCTCACTGATATGATTTGCCCTTTCTACATTGCCTTCTGCAGAAGAGAATATTACAGCGCACACTGCATTTTTCATTGTTTCTCACAAGTCACACATATACACCTGGGCTCCAAATATTGTGGGAGGTGACAGTACATATTTCACAAAGCAGTTGTGAGGCTCGGGTCACTGCGATGTCCGTTAAAGAGTCTTTCCTAGGAGAAAGGGGGAAATCCTGAAACAAAGTTTCCAAATTCGAGAGTACCTACCTACACTCTAGCTTTAGTATCAAAAAGCACGCGGAAACACGATCAAACGGCGCATGCGTAGAGAGACGGGGCGGGGCGAACCCCGCGAGTGCGCGGAGGGGCGGGGCCGCGCATGCGCCGGGCAGCAGGCGGCCCTCTGCTCTGCGCGGCCGCCGGGTGCGGGTGGCTGGTGTGATTTGTAGGTGTCGGGCTCGCTCTCGCTCTCGGGACAGCCATGGATTTTGAGAATCTTTTCTCCAAACCCCCCAACCCGGCCCTTGGCAAAAGGTCGGCTACGGACTCTGACGAAAGGTGAACCCCCCTTTTCCCCTGCACTCGTCGCAGGCTCCCCGGCCCGGGGTCCCTTCTCTGGGTTCCGGGGGGAGTGTCCGCGGCTGCGTCTCTTGTCACGCCGCGGCGACCGCGAGGCGGGGGCGGGGGGTGGGCACCGCCGCTAAGGTCGCACGTGCTGAGGTCGTTGGCGGCGGAAGAGGGGGGGATCGAAGCCGAGTTAGCGTGTGACCAGGCGGCCCGGACCGGTGGGAGCAGCGGGAGGACCGGTGGCTTTTACGGGATGGGAGCGAGGCGGGCTCCGCGCTGCTTGCTCCAGGCTCCGAGCGCTCCTCCGGGTTGGGCTAGGGGCTGCCTCGGACCCTGCAGAGCCTGTGTTGGCACCACCCCGTCCGGAGGGACAGGGGTCGGTTGTCGTTTTTTCGGTGACACAGGCACGGTGCGTCGTTAGAGGGGTGCCGAAAAGGGTCGGATCAGCCTTTAGTCCAGCTATAGAGCGCGAGCCTTGCAGGGTGCGAATCCTGGGTTCGATCCCCAGCATCACACATATATACGAAGCAGCTCTAAAAGACCACATATAATAAAGCAAAAAACAAACGAAAAAAACACATTTTGGGTATATTTGCTTTGGTTGAAAAAAGACAAGAGATTGTTGGTCCCATTCCTGTGGATGTGAAGTTTGGTTACATCTCCAAAAAGATTACATTTTTTCTGAGTCTGAAGTTCTATCATCCATCTTTACTTCTAAGCCAACATCTGCCCCTCTCTTTCCCCTGCCACCTCCTGCAGATTTTCGTGAGCTGAAACTAGTCACACATGCTTTATCTCTCTCAAGTCTCCTATATCTTGTTCAGGTTGATTTGACTTTCTGATCACTCAAAACACTTTTTGACTTCTGTCATCATTAAAACTTAACCTTAATTCAGGTCACTGTCTTTACATCACAGTGCTATCATTTAACTCAGGATCACCTGGAAAGATAATCTTGTTCTTTCTCATCTAGCAGATGAGAAAATGGAGACACAGGATAAATAATATGCCAAGATTAGGCAGTTTTAGTGACAAGGCTGAGGATTGCGACCCAGATGGCTTCACTCCAGGACTCAGGACTTCTCCCACAGCAAAATGACACAAATAAAAGTAAGACCTAGGTTGAAGAGAGCCAAAGATGCTAATTGCAAACAAGTTCTTCTGCAAAGAGAAGCAAGAGAAATCAGTAAACTACTTAAGAAAATTCATGGGAATCCTCACAGGGAAGACTGTGATTTAATGTTAGTGATTGGCGGACTGGGATGATAGTACAGTGGGTAGAGCACTTGTCTTGCAGCAGATCTGCAGCATCCCATGTGGTTTCCCCAAGCATACCAGGAGTGATTTCTGAGTGTTGAGCCAGGAGTAACCCCTGAGTATCGCAGGGTATTGCCCCCCAGAAAACAAAGAACCAAATAGTGATGTTGGAGTCCGAGCATTAGTACAGTGGGTGAGGAGCTTGCCTAGCACTGGGCCAACTCGGGTTTGATCCCTGGCATCCCATATGGTTCCTGAGGCAGCAAGGCATGATCCTTTAGCCAGGAGTTAGCCCTGAGTACTGTGATGATCAATTTGAAAATGTGTTGAGCAGAAGATCCCAATCGGAGAGCTAAGGAAATATGTAAAGGTAAAGGTAAAGGCCCTCCCGTTGATCGTCGATTTGCTCGAGCGGGCCCAGTAACGTCTCCATTGGAGACTTTGTTGTTACTGTGTCTGGCATATCGAATACTCTCGGTAGCTTGCTGGGCTAAGGAAATATGTAAGAGCTACATAACTACTTCTGGTGTTTTGTTTTGTTTTGTTTCTAAAATGTTAGGTGAAGGATTGTATTGGTATGAGGAATTTCTATAAATTTTTGGACCTTCAATCTGCAAATACCTTAGCCCTAACTTCTTTTTTGTTTTTTTTTCTGGTTTTTAATCTTTGTTTTGGTTTTGGGCCACACCAGTTATGCTCAGGACTTAATGCTGGCTCTGCACTCAGGAATCATCCCTATCTGGGCTCCATAGACTATGGTGTCAGGGATTGAACTCGCATCTGTTGCATGCAAGGCAAGCACTGTATCCACTGTACTATCTTATGTCTTGAATTTGCCTATGCCTTATTCTCTATGTAAAACTTTCTTGTTTTAAATGCAGTTAGGGGAATCTTACAGTTTATGGTAGTAGTAATTTTAGGATAGGACTGCTCATTTATTAAGTTGTTGGTATAAGTGAAACATGGGCTCAGAGGTTATAGCCCATAATAATGGGCTGTTTATTATAGTCCATAATTCTGGACTATTATAAAAACTTGTAAGAGAAAAATCCATGTATTCTTGAGCTTTTTTTTTGGGGGGGGGGTCACACCCAGCAATGCACAGGGGTTACTCCTGGCTCTGCACTCAGGAATCATTCCTGGTGGTGCTTGGGGGACCATACGGGATGCCAGGAATCGAATGCAGGTAGGCCGTGTGCACGGCAAACACCCTACCCGCTGTACTATCGCTCTAGTCCCCTCATGAGCTTTTTATTCTTGGGACACAGACAACCCTTAAATAATAATGTTTTAACTAATGATAAGTAAATGGAAGAAATGAAGGGAAGGGAGGAGGAGGATGTGGAAATTTAGTTATTATTTTGGATTTTGGAGCCATACCTGAGTAAGCTCAGGGCTTACTCCTGGCTCTACTTAGGGATCTCTCCTGGTGGGACTCTGGGGACTATAAGGGGTGCCAGGGATGGAACATGCATGGAAAGTTCTTTACTTGCTATACTATCTGGGAGGGTTTTCTTTTCTCATTTTCTTTGAGGGCAAAGGTGTCACACTTGACTCAGTAGCCACTTCAGGCAGGGGCTAGGGGGGATCATATGGTGCTGTGAATGGATCTCAGGGCCCATTGGGAAAGCATGCACCTCCAGTTTCTTTGAATTATCTCCTGACCCTACTGGAGAGTTTACAGTAAAGTGCCATTTTAGGATAGTTCTTACTGTGTGGTGAATAGCTTAGAAGGGGGCAAGAATAGCTTTGGATCATAGAATCAGTGACAAGAAATGGTCAAATATGGATCTATTTTGAAAATTGGATTTACCCACAGAGTGGATAGAAGGAAGTCCATGATGACCTACACAGCTCTCTGTAATTCAGTTTTCTCATATGTCAAACAGACTTTTAAGTGAAAGCATGCATGGTGGTTGTATGAGGTATCATGCGTGTGGACTAGCACCTGGCTCCAAGTAAGCACAATAGAGTAGTTAGCGTAGCACTGTTGTCATTACTGTTGTAAGGAAAAGTTGGTTCTTATGCCAGTCAGTGATTCGCTATGACCAAAAGCACTAACAAAAAGGCTCCTAGTAAATAAAAGTTTATTGTTTCTGATGGTGTGTTGACTTCTGTGGATGTTTCATGACTTGGCACCACATCTGATAAATGTAACTCTTGAGTCTGTTGGATAACTTTTCAGTCAAGTGGAACTGTAAACCCTGAAACTTAGAAAAAGACACAAAGTTGCTGTTCACTTTGACTTGCTAGCAATGCTATCTTTGGAAAAAAAATCCTAGAAGGTTCCCATTTTCTGGTCCTTTTTGTGGCATGCAGCCTACGCCTTCCCTCTGACCTTGAATGCAAAAGTTACTTCTTACTGGAAGGCAGTTTCGATGAACAACAGGAGGACAGTGCTACAGTGCTACCCCCATAGAGAATGGAGCAAACTCTGCTCCCCTGTACCTGTATGCCTTATTGTATGCTTTTCTAGATTTTTTCACTCTTTGGGGAGAGGGGTGTTGCACACCTGGTAGTGCTCAGGACATTATTCCTGGTTCTGTGTTCAGGGATTGCTCCTGGGGGGAATTCAGGAGCGACTATATAGGGTGTCTGGGATCAAACCTGGGTTGGCCATGTGCAAGGCAAGTGCCCTCCCTGCTGTATATCAATCCAGCCTCTTTTCTATTTTCTTATATTTGCTGCCTTCCTCATTCTTGTTTTCCTTTTGTTGATTTATTTTTTCTTTTCTTGTAACATCTCCTTGTGGTTTAATCTCTCTGCCCTTGTGAATATGAAAACAACTTTCCTTTTGCATTTTTGCACTTGAATGTAAGTTTGATTCTCTCCTGACTCCTAAAGACACACTGTACTTACCTGAAATATTTTGTTGCATTTTTTGCTTTGTTGCTTTGTTTGCTAATTCTTTGGTGTCTTTCAGGTTCGGAAGACCTTTGACCCCATTTGGATAAAGGCACCTAGTAAATGGATCCATCCTTATCCCACCATTCAGAAATTTTTTTCTTTGCTAGGAAACTTCTCAGAAGTCAGGGACAAGCCCGGCTACTTCATTGTTGTTTCTCAGGTCTTAAGGCCCAGAGTGCCTTATGATACTCATTTTTGTTAAGTGAATGGACTAAGTGGATAATATATATTAGCAATCAAACATTACTAATATTTGAACATTACGATGATATCTAAAGTGCTTTTTTGTTTACTTACAGCATTTGCCATTAGAGCTCATCATAATTTTATGCATTGTTTTTCTGGCATATTTGGATTATAACTTGAATTTGGATTTTTTGAATGACTAATTGAAGATATGCCAAAGTAGTGATTTTGAATGCTGAGGTGTAGACTGTCTAGGTTGACAAATCCTCTCGTGTTATTTGATATTTTTGCTACAGAAACCATGATGAAATAGATGATACAGAAGTTGAAGAAACACAAGAAGAGACAGTAAAATGGAATGTAAAACTGGAATGTGAGAAAATTCCCAAAAAAGTAAGATTAAGTTGGCATATTGAAAAAAGACAGCAGCGAGAAATCCATTGGGGAACCCTAATTGTCTCATTTTTGTGAGCATTTATATGCTTATATTTGGTTCTAGTTTTTAAGAAACATTATTATGGACTATGTTATCATTTAACATGAATTGCTTTTAGTGCATGTGTTTTGTTTTTTAATATTTCAGAAATGAAATGTTAGCTGTTAAAGCTTCCTTTTTTTTTTTCTAGCTTTCCCTGCAATGCTTTTTTTTTTTTTTAAGTTGAGGTACTGTGATTTGCAATATTGGGTTTTTGTTGTTTTGTTTTGTTTTTTTGAGAATAGTTTTTAAATTTTTTTTTCATTGAATCATCGTGAGATATAAAAAGCTTTAACTTTTACAGTGTTCCGACACCCAATATCCCTCCCTGTGTACGTTTCCCACCACTAATGTTTCCAGTATCCCTCCCCCCACCCCCCAACCCCTACCTCACCCCGCCTCTGTGGCAGGTACTTTTCTTTTACTCTCTCTACTTTGGGGCATTATGGTTTGCAATACAGATTCTGAGAGGCCTTCATGTTTGGTCCTTTACCTTCTTTCAACACACATCTCCCATCAGAGTGATCCCTCCAGCTCTTGTTATCTTAATGGTCTCTTCTCTACCAACTGCCTTCTTCCCCCCCCTCTCCCCCCAGCATTTGAAGCAGGGGCTTCTAGCTGTGGACCACTCTTCCTGGCCCTTGTTTCTACTGTCTTTGGGTATTAGTCTCACAGTTGTTACTTTATATTTCACAAATGAGTCAGTCATTCTGTCTGTCCCTCTCATTTCACTCAGCATGATACATGTCCATCCATTTGTAAGCGAATTTCATGACTTCATTTTTTTCTAACAGCTGCATAGTATTCTGTTGTGTAGATGTACTATAGTTTTTTTTAACCAATCATCTGTTTTTGGGCACTCTGGTTGTTTCCAGATTCTGGCTATTGTAAACAATGCTGCAATGAACATACAAGTGCAGATGTTATTTCTCCTGTGTGGTTTTTTTTTTTTTTGCACCTCCAGGGTATATTCCCAGAAGTGGTATTGCAGGGTCATATTTGAAAGCTCAATTTCTAGGATTTTTTTTTTTTTTTGGCTTTTTGGGTTATACCCAGCAATGCACAGAGGTTAATCCTGCCTTTGCACTCAGGAATCACTCCTCACAGTGTTCAGGGGACCATATGGGATGCTGGGAATTGAACCTGGGTCGGCCACGTGCAAGTCATATGCCCTACCCACTGTGCTATCACTCCAGCCCCTCAATTTCTAGTTTTGTGAAGAATGTCCATTTTGTTTGCCAAAAAGGCTTGATCAGTTGGCATTCCCACCAGCAATTAATGAGAATCCTATTCTCCCCGCATCTAAACCAGTGCTGGTTGTTTTTGTTCTTTTTGATGTATGCCAGTCTCTGTAGTGTAAGATGATATGTCATTGTTGTTTTAATTTGCCTTTCCCTGATGATTAGCTATGTAGAACATTTTTTTATGTACCCTTTGGCCTTTCGTATTTCCCCTTTGAGGCAGTTTCTGTTCATTTCTTCTCCCCATTTTTTGATTGTCGGAATTTTTTTTCTTGTAAATATCTTTGGATATTGACCCCTTATCTGATGGGTTAATATCTGATGGGTAGTGAGTAAATGATTTTCCCCATTCTGTGGGCTGTCTATGTATTTTGGTCACCAGTTTGCAGTATTGTTAGTGATGGAGTATTGTATGTGTACATAATACCAGCACAACAAACATCCCCAGTTTTTCCACCTCACATCTGTCCAAAATCCCCTTTCAGATCTGTCCCAACAACTCAATTATGTGGATCATTTCTGTTGTGTTGCCTTTGGCTCATCATTGCCACCTTGCTGTTTATTTAAAAATCCCACCTATGACAGAGGTCATTGTCCATCCCTTTCCTTCTGACTGATATACTCAGCATGATAGCCTCTAGTTCAGTCCATGTCACAGCAAATGGGCCGATTTAGTTTTTTCTTAGAGCTTAGTGTTACAGTTCTAATATGAACCACAGCTTCTTGATCTGTTTATCCACAGTTGGACATTTGGATTGTTTCCACATCTTGGCTATGAGCAATAGTGTGCAAATATCCTTTCAAATTCATGTTTTTGGTTTTGGGGGATAGATCTCAGTAATTGGTATTACTGGATCATATGGTAGCTCTTTCCTATTTTTTTTTTTTTTTGGAGAGATCTCCTTATTGCTTTGCATGGAGGCTGAACTACGTGACATTTCACAAACAGTGGATGAGGACAGGAATTTCTTACCATAACTCTGCTAACAGACTCTATCTGTGTCATTCTCACTGGTGTGAGATGATACATCAGTATTATTTTGATTTCTTTCCCTAATCCTGAGTGATAATGAGCACTCCTTCTTTCTTTATTTGGCTTTTTTGAGGTCATACCTGGTGATACTCAGAGGTTAATCCTGGCTCTGCACTCAGAAATAACTCCTGGCGGTGCTTCGGGGACCATGTGGGACACCAGGGATTGAATCCGGGTTGGCCATATGCAAGGCAAACGTCCTACCCGCTGTACTATCACTCTGGCCCCAAACATCCTTTCATATGCCCTATTGGCCATCTGTATATCAAAGTTCCTGTCTTTCAAAACTAAATTTAAAGGTACTGCAATAATTTAACCTCAGTGATTGGTAGCTTATAGCTTGTTTGTGAGACCTAATTTTTTAGCTGTTTTTTTTGTGAGAGCTAATTCCAAACATGTATAACCAATGACATGGCTGAGGTCTTTTTTATTGGTATTTATGTCAGAAACTTGAGTCCACAGATATAAGCAGTATATAACCAGAATACAAGTAAACACAGATCATGCATGCAAATTTTTGTTCACAGAGTCACATGTGCAGGTATATGAATTAGAAGTGTGCGTTTAGATTATGCCCAAACTGTTTTTATTTTATTTTATTTTACCCAAACTGTTTTTAAAGTGCAGAAATGTAAAATTACATCTTGAAAATACGGAGATGGTCTACACACTTCAAAAACCAAATGTTGCTTATACCAGATGTATGACAGCTACAGGATTCAAGTGACAAGCAATAAGATCCCAAAAAATTAATACTGGTCAAAGAGAACGGGAATATTTTTACATTTCACTGAAAATACATTGACTACTAGAATACAAAATCTAGCAGAAACGCAGGGAAAACAATTACAAAATCTAAACCAAATTACTTAATACTTAAACAACATGACAAAAAAGTGCACCTGCATTTTAGTCACCGATCTGACATGAAATTCTCCAAAAACGCAACAACCAAAAAAAGCTTTCAACTCCAAAAGAAAAGTCCTCAAGGCTCAGATTAAATGTGGAATGTTTCAGATGACAGTAATAATTAAAATTAAAGATAAAAAAACCCAATTGGTTTTGTTCTTTATTAAATGGAATCAAAAGCTTTGACATTTCTTTGAAGTGTAGAACTACTAAATTTAATTTCTCTGAATGGTTCAATGTATCTTTTTTCAGCGGTGCAGGTTGTCTTAAGTTGCTTTACAAAACCAGACTCTACAAAGTACTTTTGTTACCATTCTGATAAAACAAAAACAATCTCCATTAACTTAACTGCATATGTATTTATGCTATGATATTTAACACATGAACCAACATCTATTACTTTTCCACTAAAACAAAAGAATACAATAGTTTTCTATCTATTATATTTTTAAAAGGTTAACATTAAAAACAAAGAGCCATTATTTTCTTTGAACAATCAGAAGACTGCAAGTGGAGTGGCTTGAGAGAAATGTGCCATCTAAAGTTGGCGGAGGGGGAAAGTCACCATGCTGTGGGGTGGGCAGTGTGGGTTCTTCTGCGGTGGCTGTAAAGAAGCCGTACCAGGCCCATGCCCTCACCTCTGGCAATTTGGAACTGCCTGGCATTTCCTGTTACTTCAGTCTGTAGTGTGGTCCTGTGGCTATCTTATGTGTGAGTGTCTAAATTTCCTCCTTTTGTGAGGTCCCTAGGGCCTCACATGCCCCCGATATATGTCTCCACATACACTCTACACTGAGCTGTTATACAAATTCATAGTCATCCTTCAGGTTACTGAGAAGGCTGGCCATGCTACTTTATTTCTGGAAAGTTTCAAATACGTGAGTAAAGAGAATTTGAACCTCCATGAACCCATCGCTCAGTGAGAAAAATTATTAAACTCTTGGCCAGACTCTGTTTTCTCTGTATTTATAACCAGATTACTTTCAATAATTCATGCGAAGGTTTTAAAATTAAACATTGAATTTTGACATAGCCTCGACGTTCCAGAAACTCCACAGCATCACAAAAGAATTCTCCCCGTAGAAAATCAAGGAGTAAAGACTATGATCCAGAGAGTGACAATGATATACTCAGTCAAGACTCAGAAGATCATTTTGCTAAAGCACTTCAGCAGTATATACAAGCTAAGGAAATGGCCAGTGCTGCTCAGGCATTATCCGTTCCTGAAGACTCCATAAAGAAAGATGAAGGGAAGGAAGCCCGGAATGGTAAGTGTCTGATGAGTCTGTCACAGAAAATTTTGTCATAGAATTTCCTGTTTTGGGGGGCCAAACCCTGTCGTGCTCAGGGCTCACTTCTGGTACTGTGCTCAGGATTCAGTCCTTGAAGACTTGGAGGACTATGTGGGATGTTACAGTTAGAACCTAGGTTGGCTGGGTGCAAGACAAGGACCCTACCCTCTGTTCTGTCATGTGAGAGTAGAGTTTCTTGACTTTTTCTCACCATGACCTGGTGACCTGGTTTTCTTCCAGTCGGCCCCTAGGCTCATGTCACGGCCATCCATTTATGTGATCTTTACCTGTGTCCTCCTGTCGAGCTATATACCGTGCCCCATGATGGCTCCTCATTGAGAAATGCTGATCTAGAGAACTAATCATAGCGTCCATGTGTGAATGGGGGAGGGAAGTTTTCATGTGTTTCATAGAATGATGTGGGGTTTTTTGTTGTTCTTTTTTTTCTTTTTGGGTCACACCCAGTGATGCTAAGGGGTTACTCCTGGCTGTACATTCAGCAATTACTCCTGGCGGTGCTTGGGGGACCAAATGGGATGCTGGGAATCGAACCCAGGTCGGCCACATGCAAGGCGAACATACTACCTGCTGTGCTATTGCTCCAGCCCAGGATGTTGGTTTTTATGGGTGCTTTGAGTTCATTGTGAGTTGCATGATGATCCCAAACACTGACTTGGCCCCTCACTGTGAAACACTCGCTGGGGGAGTCCAGGAGCGTTATCAAGTGTCATGGCTACTTGGGAATAGTAAATGCTAAGTCCCTGGCCACTGCTTGTTAGAAGGGCAAAATGTGCCTGTTTCCACTGCTATTATCCTGCATTGACTTAATTAGTTTGAGAATCTGAATAGACTGAGAACATGAAAGCCTGTGTTTTCAAATTACTAAAATGAAGCTAGGGGATGGGGGATAGATTGGGGTGGTGGAGTGTGTGCCTGGCTTCCTCCCAGCACCAACCCCAGGTACTGCCAGGATAGCCTGGTGCACCCCCCCCAGCCCACCAGCACCAGTTCCATTTGCATTCAGGACTGAGTATCCCGGTGAGCCCTCAGCACTACTTGGGAGCCTCCCCCCACCCTGCTAAATAAACTTAGTTGAGAGAAAACGACAGTTGTAAATGAAATTCTTAATTTTCTCATTTTATTGTGTGTTTTTCTCTTTAAATGTTTTTCTATTTAAAGTAGATCTTCAGGGGCTGGAGAGATAGCACAGCGGGTAGAGTGTTTGCCTTGCATGCGGCCGACCTGGGTTCGATTCCCAGCCTCCCATATGGTCCTCTGAGCACCGCCAGGAGTAACTCCTGAGTGCAGAGCCAGGAGTAACCCCTGTGTATCTCCAGGTGTGACCCAAAAAGAAAAAAAAAAGTAGGTCTTCAAATGCACTTTATGTAAAATGTTTTTCAATGAAGACAAATACAAAGGTACTCGATCTGACAGGCATTTTATGTTTAAAGTTCCCCCTAGTAAGGTGCTATGCTAGAACACTCCTGGGTTACCCCGTATGCTGGGCACTTCAGACGGATCTGACATCTGACTTGTAGTTAGAAGTCTGCTTTCTTTTCCCAACAATTCCATCTTTATATTGTAGCAGATGAGTTGGGGGTCTAGAAGTACTTATTTTCCTTTTGATTTCTCTGTGGCTTTTTTTTTTGTTTTTTTTTTTTGTGGTCGGAGAGAGGGTAAGTATTGGGGACTTGGGGGCTACACCTGATCTCTGCTGGATGGTTCCTCCCTGCTCTTTGCTACCAGGGGTCAATCCTGGTAGTGCTCAGAGGTTCTTTTGTAGTGCTGGGGATTGAACCAGGGTCAGCTGCATTGTAGGCAGGCTCCTTGAGCTCTGCACTCTCTCTCCAAGGCCAGAGAGAGTTTCTTGGTTTTTTAATCCCAGGACTGCTGGAAAGGTGTTGTAGGTTACGTAATCAATTTTTCAATCATTGAGTTGGTTTTTGTTTGTTTTGGTTTTGGTCCACATCAGTCAATGGCTTAGGCCTTCCTGCCAACTCTACTCAGGGATTACTCCTGGTATGCTTGGGGGACCACATGGGGTTCCGGGGATCCAACCCGGGTTATCTATATTCAAGGCAGGTTATCTATATTCAACCCTACCCACTGTACCGTATTTCCAGCGCCTGCAATATTAATTCTTATGGTGGAACTGCTTTTGTGTCATCTCTTGAAATGAACTTTCTTGTTCTGAGCAGCACAACAAAAGAATCAAAACCTTAGAGCTGTTCACAAGAATGGGAAGCAGAAGAAAGTGAAGCGGAAACGGCGTAGTGCCGGGGACAAAGGATCCAATGCTTTACCAAGGAAGCAAGGCTCTCAGGACCAGGTACACGGGCATACATGGGTACATAGACATGAATACGTGCTTGCATTTCTGGCAAAGCACCCTACTTGGACTATCTCTGACCTGAAATAATTTTCTGTGTCTACTTTGAGTTTCATGTTTTTATTCTTAAAGGATGGCAAACCTAAGGAGAATCCGCCACGTGTGAGAATGAGCCAGGGATTTATCAACCAACATACAGTGGAACGTGAGGGAAAACAAATCTGTAAATATTTTCTTGAAAGAAAATGTATTAAGGTACATAAGAATATACGTTACATAAATGTATTGAAGGCAACTGTTGTTGTTGTTTTCATTAGATCCTCTAAAAACATGGTTTGACATTTATTTGAGACTTTCTTCTAGAAAAGGTTTTAACAAGAAAATTACAGTGTTATATTCTTTTATGTTTAAAAAGCAAAGTATGTATGTATGTGTGTGCGAGTAAGAGGGAGAAAGAAAGAGAGAGAGAGAGGGAGAGCGCATAGCTCATTAAGAATTAAACCTTCAGTGGTTAGAACTAACCACAAGTGTGTGTTGGGCTGAGAGTAGGTAAAATAGAGAAGAGACCTCGGACACTGTGACAATAATAGCAGAGAATGATCACGCTAGACAAGATCTGAGGGTTAAAATTAGGTAAAGCAATATTCTTGATAATCTTCCAGTATCAGTTTTGTAAACCACAATGCCCAAAAGGAAATATATATATTTTTATATTTACATATTTAAGTGGGGGGTCATGGGAAGGAACCTGGGGATGCTGGTCCTGAGAAATGTTTACTGGTGGAGGCATGAGTATTGGAATACTGTATGACAAATCTAATCATGGACAGCTTTATAAGGATTGCTCTCACAGCGATTCAGTAAAAAAGTAAAAAAAAGAATTAGACTTAACTGCAACTAAGACATTTTTCTTGGAATTACTTATTAACATAAAGTTTAGTAGGAATTGTGATGACTCAAGAAATAATGACTTTTCCTTGTCCCTTCTCTTGATCTAGGGAGACCAGTGTAAATTTGATCATGATGCAGAGATAGAGAAGAAAAAAGAAATGTGTAAATTTTATGTACAAGGATATTGTACCAGAGGCGAAAACTGTCTATTTTTGCATAATATCCTTTATCACAAGATACAACAACTTTCATTTTCATGAGCATTTACTTTGACATTCTGAATTTATAAAATTTTGAGTGAAACAAGTGTTTCAGCTATGGCAAGATTATGTTCTCCAAGCAATCCCATATCTAAGTGATTAAAATAGACACAGATTTCTCCCAGACCCTAAATTCAGTCAATTCCTGAGCTGCAGGGATTGTATTTCTTAAGATATCCCTTTCTTATATCAAGGAAACTTGCTTGTAGTTTGTTTTAAGAATGTATATGAGGGGCTGGAGCGATAGCAAAGTGGGTAGGGCATCTGCCTTGCACCCGGCCAACTCGGGTTCGAATCCCAGTGTCCTGTACGGTCCCCTGAGTACTGCCAGGAGTAACTCCTGAGTGCAGAGCCAGGAGTAACCCCTGTGCATTGCCAGGTGTGACCCAAAAAGCCAAAAAAAAAAAAAAAGAATGGATATGAAACAGTACCTCTGAGGACCAATACTCTTGACTTAAAGAATTATTCTAAAATTAGACTTTTTATGTAACTTATTTATTGAGTCATTTTCAGTAGAGAATTCTAGTACAAGAGTCCATGGGACTAGAGAGATAGTAAATGTGTTGAGGCACTCGCATGTCATATAGCCAACCCCAGTTGAAATCTGGGCACTGCTTAGGGTCACCCATGCTTCAAGAGTGATCCTTTCGTGCAAAACATTAGTAAACCCTGAACTCTGCCTGATGTAGCTCCAAACAAAAAAGCTTTTTTTAGGAAAACAGCAATTTTTTAAAAAACCAAAATTTTAATTGGGTTAAAATTGTTCTCTTCTTTGGGCTAGAGTGATAGTACAGTGGGTGGGTGTTTGCCTTGCACGTGGCCGACCCAAGTTCAATCCCCGGCATCCATATGGTCCCCCAAGCACCACCAGGAGTAACTCCTGAGTGCAGAACCAAGAGCTACCCCTGAGCATCTCTGAATGTGACCCAAAATGCAAAAAAAAAAAAAAAAAAAAAAAACCAACTGTTCTCTTCTTTAACATTTGGGATACATGAATATCCTTGCAAGTTTTACCATACAGGAGCAAAATGTTATCAGGGAGAGTATTGCAAGTTTTCTCATGCTCCACTGACTGCTGAAACACAAGAACTGTTGGCTAAAGTAAGTACAGTTTTAAGAATATATTTGAACTTAAGGTGAAAACTTGAAAAACTAAAAGATAATTCCTCATAGGTTAGATACGGAATATATTAAGATTGATTATCCAAAAAATTTTTTCAGTTTGGAAAATCATTGTTTATTTGTATATTTTCCCTTGTAGCTTAAAGAATATTTTATATTTAATACGGATGTGAATTGGAATATTATTAAAACCAGTGTTGTTAGTAATCTTATAGCTAAGCTGAATAAAGGAAAACAGTAAATATAGCAGTACTATTATTGTTATATTCTTGGAAAGTTAAGGATTATTGGTTGATAAGTATTTTAGAATTATTGAGAATTCTTAATTAGTAATTTTAAAATATTTTGCTCAGATGTTCTTTTCAGTCTGTGAAAAAGGTAATAGAAATTTTATTTTCATTTTTATTTTCATTTCCCATATAATAATTAAGCTGGTTGCTTCAAAATTGAATATAGATACAAAGTGCAAATAAAAGACTGATACCATCTTGTAGTAGAAATTCCCTTGAGCATAAACAAATATTAAAAAGTAAAAGGAGGATCAGGGAAATACTACAGCGCGTAGGGTTCTTGCCTTGCTGACCCAGGTTCAGTCTTAAACATCCCTTATGGTCGGTCACCTGAGCCTTCCAGGAGTGAATTCTGATGCAGAGCCAGGAGTAACTCCTGAGCATCACTGAGTAGGGCCCCAAAACCAAAAAACTGAATACCTTTTGATTGTAGATACTCCAAGGGTTTTAGAAGTCATAGCAAATGTTTGGTTTATTAGTGTGAAATATGGAGGTGATACAAATGACACATGTGCAATGTTTTTTGGCTTCCAGTTCCTGCTAGTTATCATTAGATGATTACCAGGATGGATATTATTTTAATTCATCCTGATAATTATTTGTTTGTGTACGTTTATTAGACATTCATGCATAAATGATTTTATGATTTTTTTCTTTCATATTAGGTTTTAGATTCGGAGAAGAAGTCATCATGAATATAAAATAAGGTAAAATTAGAATTAGCACATTATTTTTTTTTACCCTCTCTGAAACATTTCTTGAAATTGACATAGAAACAAGACTTTCTGTTTTTCCAAATAGAAATCTCTCAACTACCCCACTAAAAGGATTATAAAATATTTGATAGTTCTACATGGATATGCTTCTACTGGCTCCTTCTCTCTGGGCATGTCACTGTCTTAATATTTTCATTCCCAGCTTTTTTTTTTTTTTGGTAGACATATCTGATGTGCATGATTCATTAAAAATTGTATTTAGCTTTGCTTCTGTTTTGATTTTGTTATGGGGCCACGCCTGGCAGCGCTGGGATTTGGTGCCAGCGATCTAGCCAGAGCATGGACATGTGAACTGTTTGCTCTCTCTTGTGAGCCTCACCCCCAGCACTTTTCTGTTTTATGGGGGTAGGAGGGAATACCTGGCAGTGCTCAGGGGTTACTCCTGGCTTTACTCTGGTTGGGTTTTTTTTTTGTTCGTTTTTTTGCTTTTTGGGTCACACCCGGCAATTCACAGGGGTTACTCCTGGCTCATGCACTCAGGAATTACTCCTGGGGCATTCAGGGGAATATGGGATGCTGGGAATCGAACTCCGGTCAGCCGCTTGCAAGGCAAACGCCCTACCTGCTGTGCTATTGCTCCAGCCCTGTGGCTTTGCACTCTGAAATTCACTCTGATGGGTTTGGGGAACCATATGGGATTCCAGGGATTGAACCTCATTGGCCATGTGCAAGGAAAACACTGTGCCCACCTTATACTATTTCTCTGGCCCCCTAAAACTTCTTACTTTTAGCCAAACTAAAACTCTTTTTTGTGTTTTGGGGGGCCAGTCCTAGCAAGGTTCAGGTTCAGGGACCATGTGGAGTGCCAAGGATCAAACCCAGGTTGGCTGCTTGTAAGGCAAGTGCCTTATCTATTGTATCTCCAGTTCCTCTTTTTTTTTCTTGGTAAGTGAATTAAGCCCAATTATATTTATTGAACATTTGGTTTTTGTCATTTTATATTTTACTCTGTTTATTTTGTTAGATTTTCAGTTATTCCATGTCTGTGATGTGTTTTCTGTTTGGGTTGCTAGTAAATGTTAACTTTTCATCATTTTTAATTCTTTTTTTGTTTTTCCTTTTTGTCCAGTAACCCAACCCTTATTACATTTCCAGTAACATTTTTCTTGTGATACTGTCTTCATTTTTGATATCTTTGCTTGTATCTTTTCTTACATCAGACAACACTTGTTTAATTACTTGTTTTGTGTAGTCATTAATGTTTTATAAAAATGGGAATGTACTATATGTTTACTTTTATTTTTTAATTTTGGAAAAAGTAAGGTCTAGCTTTTGTTCTTGGTAGCTATCTCTTAGTCTCTTCATATTCATCTCTAGAGCCCTTTCAACTTTGTAGTGATAATTAATCCCTGGTATGCATTTTTCATCCCCTAATCTGTGTTCATATATCATACGAGTTTGCATTTTTATGCTTATAGTCTTGGTTTCTGAATTTCAAGTCAATGTCTTCCTTCCTTCCTTCCTTCCTTCCTTTCTCTTTCTTTTTCTCCCTCCCTCCCTCCCTCCTTCCCTCCCTCCCTCCCTCCCTCCCTCCCTCCCTTCCTTCCTTCCTTCCTTCCTTCCTTCCTTCCTTCCTTCCTTCCTTCCTTCCTTCTTTCCTTCCTTCCTTTTGGTGGGGGAGAGGTTGGACCCACATCCCACCAGTTGCTCAGGGCTTACTACTGACTGCACTCAGGGATCACTCCTGACATGGCTCGGGGGATCCTGTGCAGTACCAGGGATCAAACCAGAGTCCACTTTATGCGAAAAAAATCACTTTAACCTCTGTACTCTCTCTCCAACTTTTTGTCATATTTCTAAATGAGGTGGTTTCATTCAGCTTTTAAAAATAAAAGTTTGTGGGGGCTGGAACAATAGCACAGCAGGTGGGGCATTTGCGTTGCACTGGCCAACCCAGGTTCGATTCCCAGCATCCCATACTGTCCCCAGCACCACTAGGAATAATTCCTGAGTGCTGAACCAGGAGTAACCCCTGTGCATTTCTGGGTGTGACCCCAAAAGCAAAAAAATAAAATAAAAAGATCGCTGGGTATGACACAGAAAGCAATAAAATAAAATTAAAAAAATAAAAGTTTGTGCCTTTAATTGTTCTGTGGCTGGTGTTTTGAGGAGTGGTTGAGATTCAGTAGCTGATGGGTTCTTGTGTTTCTTTCTGCTTTGTGTAGAGTGTTTCTGCGAACTCAGGAGGCTGGTGTTGGAGTGGCTCACAGAATTTCTTATTCTAATACGCCCCCTTGTGTCACTGTGATGATGTGCTGAGAGTCACTTGGATAAGAGTGAAGAGAGTTTCTCCATCCAGGTGCTGCCACCTTTGGAACAAGAGCGGAGGGTCTCTCTGCTGGCTGCTGACCTCAGGTTGTGGTAATAATTGCAGACAGCTCTGCTGACTGAGTTTGCCCAGTAAGATAGGAGCCCCGGCCCCAGTGATTGTGCATGAGGGAAGAAAACGTGGGTTGCTCTGGGAAGACATTAAAATAATAAACAGTGGATCTCCTGCCATAGCTTTTCAACTATTTTTACAATCTTTATTTTCAAATGTGGATTGTGTTTTATTACTAAGAAAAAATGTTTTTCTTGCCAATGCCTGGGTACATATTCAAAGCACCCCAAGAGGCACCCCTAGAGCACAGCTGACAGGATGTAATGATGGCTCATAGTTCTGTGGCGTATTTTGTTTGTGACTTTTCATTGTTTTCCAATTTTTGGACATTTAAGTGTTTTTCCATTTTTCCATTATTTTAAATAAAATGGGACAATGTCTCCTGTTACAGTGTTTCAAAATTTGACGGTCTGAACTTTTTAATCAAAGTATATGGATGGTAATGTTTCTCCTTGGCTCATACTGATTATACACTTGTGTACAATGTCTATCCGGAGTATGCAGAATTCCTTCACATAGTGTTCAAATTTTTCCTGCCATAAGTAACAAAATCCAAAATATGCACTTTAGAGATGATTAGAATTTACAGTGAAATACTGACATCATTGTTTTGTTTTGCTTTGGGAGAAAATGAGAGCATCAAGAATTTGCTTTTATTACTTAACCAAATACCCAGTTGGTGAAATTTCTTAGCTAAAGTCCTACGTGGAATATGAGTCAAAGTTATTCTTGTAATCTAGTCCCACTAAAACAAGAAAGGGAATTGCCAGTACTCCCTGCAGAGATTTATCACACATGACCTAGGAAAGAAAGAAACCAAATGAGACCTAAGCCCTTTGCAGCAGGACTCTCTGGCACCGCTCTGCTGTCTGCCATGTCCATGAAGTCACCCCCTGACTATGGCCTGGGAGAAAGAGAAAACAATGCACTGAAAGCTGCCAGGTCAGTTGCACAGAGAGGCAGAGTTCCAGAGGGACCATTAAACCTTTTATAAGTAAATGGTGAAAGGAGGGGCTATATTGCCTAGAGAATGGTTATTTTATATCTGTTTGGTTTGTTTTGGGTTTTGAGCCATACCTGGCAATGCTCAGGTGTTACTCCTGACTCCGCACTCAGATACTATTTCCTCGTGATGCCTGGAGGACTATATGGAGTGCTGGGAATCAGACCTGGGTCATTGGTCTGCAAGGCAAGTGCCTTACCTGCAGTACTATTGCTCTGGCCCCTTATATCTTCTTTAAAACACATACAATCTAAAAAAAATTCAGGATTCTGGACCAGAGAGAATTCTCTCAACAACTTGAATAAATTTGGAGGTTTATCACACATTTGGAAGCATTGCTCCTGGCTCATTTTGTATGTGCTCATCCTAGTCTGCAAATCAGCCACTAATTTTTTTAGTGATTTTTTTAGTGAAGCAAGATAGTCTTTATTGAACAAAATTTGCAGAGAAAGTTGTGAGGGGCGAGAAAGAGAAGCATATGTGTTCTCAGAAAGAACACGGGCCTAATAGAACAAGCCGCAGCTACTTTTTAAAGCCCAGATTCTTTTAGTTGAGGGTCTGTGTGATTCAACATCTGGATTCTGAATATGCTTCATGCTCTTAGGTCTGGTCCACCAAAGATGGACTGTGGGGTACCATATAGATAAAAGCCTAATACATATGTTTAGGGACTGGAACTTCAGAGGAACTCCAGATTTGTTCTTTGGTTGGTTGGTTGGTTGGTTGGTTGGTTGGTTGGTTGGTTGGTTGGTTTTGACCACACCTGGCTGACCTTAGGATACTTCTGGCTTTGCACTCAGTGATCACTCCTGGCAGGGTTTGGGGGACCAGATGGGATGCTGGGATCGAACCTGGGTGGATCACGTACAAGCCAAGCATTTAACCTGCACTCCAAACCTGTTCTAGCCACTCTGGCACTGCTAAGTACTAGGTTTTATTTTTATAGTTTTTGAGTTTGTTGATCTTCAAGTCTTCTGGGAAGAGCAAGATATTAGGACGTCAGCACATGCTAGTATGCCACAAAAACCATGACTGAGATTTCACTGTTTCTTGTGAACATTTTTATTTGAACTGTTGTAAATAAACATTTGATTGTTAGAATTATGGAAAAATTGATTGTTAGAGTTTTGTCTCATTCCTTTGGGGGATTGGTGACATTTCAGAGATGCTTAGTTGCTATGTCCAGAGTGGAAACTTCGGGTTCACTTGCAAGTATTGTTTGCCATCACAGTATCTGCTTCCCATATCTGCACTTTATAAGTGTTTGCGATGGTGGATTTCATCTTTTCCTTTCTTTTTTTCCGTTTCTTGCCTGACTGCCTAGAAACATGTTCCTTATTCCTGAAGATTTGGGACCTTCAAATTTTTAAGCCACACTTAAAAAAAAATAGAAATTCCACAGAAGAGGCCTTATTTACCATTCACATAAGTTTTACATAAATATGAGTTTTTGTATCCCCGCTGAATCCTATGAAGAAGTATTTCCAAGTTTATTTGGCATGAATGTGTTGCTTGGCATGTATATTTGTTACATGATAATATATAAATTGCTGTTCAATCTTGGGTTTCTTGAACAAATTTGATTCATTCCCATATCTGCTAACACACAAGTTCTTTTCAGTCCATATGCCAGTGGACAGCAAGCCAATTTAAACTTCCTTGTGTAGCTCTACTCAGGTTGGTAAACCTGGAATCAACAGAAATGCCCTCTTTCAGCCAAATGCACATAGCACAGTCATTTCAGTTCACGGAGGGAGAAAACCTAGTCCCAGTGAATTCCTGGTTGTCTCAGAGGCTGAATGCCTGGCCTTGTACAGCTGTGAATGGTTTCGTTTTCCCCAAGCTGAGGAAACCATGTGAGCAGCCCCTCAGCAAATAGAAACTATCCGCCCGCCCCCCCCACATCCCCGATCACCCCCCACCACTGCCCCACTACACTGCCTGGGGTTCAGCAGGGAGGGCTGGATTTTTCTGGGATATGCCCTGCAGCCAGAAAGCAAAGTGGTAGGACTAGCCTTGATGTCTGAGATGGTTTTACAGCATCTGCTAGGGGCCTAAAAGGCGATTCAAAGAGTGTACCTTTCACCAATGGGGGAGAACCACAAAGATAGTTGTCTGATTAGACACCGCTGGGGCCCCGCTCTGATTAACTCTCAGCAGGAATGGATGTGAGAGCTGCAGGAAGGCCTGTGAATTAGTGTGTTTCAGGGTCCAGCAGGAGCCAGTGAGGGCCTGTTCTGAACAGTCCAGATCAAGTCAGGTTGTAGGAGTGGGTTCAGTATTGTGACTCAATGACTGTGTTTATAGTGAGTCTCTGGTCCTGTTCTCTCTGGCTTGCCCTCCAACCTCTTGAGTTTCTCCCAGCTCTTCTGTGTGGTCACTGGGAAACTAGTGAACAGCAGGCCCTCCCCTCCTCATTTAGTACCAGCAGCCCCTTGTTCAAAGTGATCCTGCCGATAATCTGGCAGCAGCCTAAGCATGTTCAACATCTCTATCTTGTCCTAGACTGTGTTCCTTGCAAGAATCAGGCACTCTTACTCAATATTAATTCAAAATTAGATGTTGAGAAAACATGAATCTTGCTCTCCCCTACCTCTACCCTCATGAACAAGCATATAAAAATTTTAGGTATTAAAAAATGAATTAAGTAAAGAAAAAAAACACCCTATTTTTCTTTAATGGTGACATTTTGAAGTGATTGAGCAAACAGCACAGGTATGTTGAGTCTTGCTTGGGGGTGCTGTGCTAGGCATCTTTCCTCATTTAAAATGTGAGCTCTTAAGTAGTACCAGTCACCAGTTGGTGGATGCGCCAACCAGTGGGGCAAGGACCAGTGGGGAGATTCCTGGTTTCTTGAGTTGGGAGTTAATGCCCCGGAACCTATTTGGGTTTTATTACTTGCTGCAAGAGAGACCACAAGTTTTCTAGGGAAAACTTGACCTGAGTTTGTCAAGAGTTAATCATTAAATTGTGTTTGAGACAAGTCATTGGATGATTTTGGTAAGCACTAAGCAATCACTGGGAAAGTTGGTAATTTTGTGTCAGAGTAAGGCCAGGATGACAAATTCATGCTGAGATGGTTTAAGATGACTAGTCCGAATAGGTGTGATTTATGGAATTCTTGCATTCTAAAATTGTCCACTTGGAAAAGTTGTGGTTCCTACTTCAAATCTTAGTTCTCAGGTGGCAGAAGAGTAAGTCTCTGTTGAGGACAAAGTATAAAAGGAAATGGAAGGAATGCAGGGCAAAAGAAACATTAAAAAAATCATTAAAAAAAATTAGAGGCATCCTACTAAATGGCAGAGAATGTTTGCACAGAGGTGAGTGGGTTGATTTGGCCAAATTCCCCAACATCTGTAACAAATGCCAAATTTTATTTTGTGGTTTGTCTGTCACTTGGCCCAGGGTCCCTTCATTTCCACTAAGAATTTCCATCTATACAAGGACCTCCTTTCGCTTCTGTGTTTCTGGTATTCTCTTTCCCAATCCACTTTCTCAAGGCCCTAAACTTCACTAACTAAAGCCAAACAAGTTGTTGGTGGCAGTGATGTAACCCATGATAGTTATTGTTTTCATATCGGTCTTCCTGTTCAGGGTTGTTCAGCCAAACCCAAAAGCAAGGGGTTAATCTGAGGGTATATGCCCAGCTGTAGAGCTGGCGTTCTAGCCTGCTATAGACAGGATGCTTTGGGCCACCAACAAGAACTCCATCTCAGCCCCAATGAGAAAACCACGAGCACATTATGTCATGTAACAGGAAGTCTAGAGGCTGGAAAATTTCCAGGCCTGTTTCATCTGGGACCCTTGCTTCATTTCCTTTGGCTCAGCCTTTTGCCAACAAGTTTTCTCCTATCTTGGCATGTCTCAGAGCCCAAAATGGCTTCTTAAAACAATTGTAATCTATTTCCTCATTGAGTGGAAAAGAAAGCACTCTTTCAAAGAATGAAGTAAGAACACCTCAAAGTCACTCTGCCAGGGACAGTCGCGGGATATGTGGCTGTCACCAGGGAAATGCCATGCATGGCTGGGGCTAGTCTGGGTCTTTGCTTTCCCTGGCCCAGGATGAATCACTGGTTGTCTTGGAGCTTAGAAGGGGGGTGCGGGGGCGGGGGGGACGGTGCAGTGATCATCTTCCTCTTAAAACACAGGCTGGGATGAGGAATGTGTTTGGTTTGCTAGGATGGCTAAAACAAAGTGCCAACGACTGGGGGGATAAACAACAGAACTTTATATTCCCACAGTTATGAAGACTTGGAAGCATATCAGGGTGTCAGCAAGGTGATTTCTTCTGAGACTTCTCTTCCCGAGTCTCCACATGCTGCATGTGTTCTAATCTCTTTTTATAAGGACATTGCTCAGATTAAATGAAGGCCTGCCCTAATGACCTCATTTTCACTTAATTTCCTCTTCAA